ATGCCTAGCAAATTTCTCACTTAGAATAACTGGCACAGTCTATGTTGCTGAATTTTTCTATTGGAACAATGTAAAAATTGCAAACTGATCTTTAGTGAGGCATAGTTTTCAATCCTTGCATGTCTCTTACATCTAAAACTATGACGTAAATGCTTGATTTATTCCCAACTGAAATGCAGAAAAGCTTCTGGTTGTGTTGACAATCACGCATGTATGATGGGAGACACACTGATGTTTTTATCAGGCTACAAACTACAGGTTAGATGTGATGGTCCGTTTGTTTTCACCAGCCCACCTTGTTGGTCACCGTGATGAGGGGTGTGCCTTCTGAAGACGCCTTATTGGGAATCTCCTTCAGGACCATGGCAACGGTCTTATCTGCAGCCCTAGCGTCTTTCCCCTACAACAGTGAAATCAACAATGACTTGTGTCAGGACAGAATATTTAGATATTTCTTGTTCTATATGCTGCTAATGACCTAAAGTCCAAAATACTGTTATGCTTTAAGATGGAAATGGATACACTGACTGTCACAACACACAGGAAAATGCCACACTTCCTAAAGCCACATATGAGGAAGCTGTGTGTGCAGCATCAGTGCTGTATGTTCTTGCTCAAAGCAAGCTGGACGAGGCCAAGGCAGACATGAAAGTGATAGACTGCTTTTATCTGAGAGAAAGAGACAGAGACATATGGCCTGGACGAACCATCATTCAAAAGACTGCATCACATGAGGAAAGCACAGGGCAACCGAGAACGTATTCAAGGTCAACTTAAAAACCAGGTCTCATTCAATCCAAAAGATGAGGGAAATATCCAAGCAATTATTATTATTAAAGTACAAAATAATATTGTTGTAGTGAAATTCAAAGCAGTTACTTTAGTTGTACTACTATTTCACCGTATGTTTCGATGTTTTTTTAAAGCAAAACATGACGTCAGCACTTTTATATAGTTAGAATCATTTCAATTACTAATACTTTTTATTTTCATTGTTTAGCAACATAAACGCAAACTTTACAGCAGTTTTTACATTATAAACAATACGATAAAAATTATATTTTATGACGACAAAACATAAAAATAAATAAACTACGCTATCCATTCATCCATTTTATATTTCTTTTTTTACAATGCCTCTATAGAATTTTAAACTAACGATAATTTTATTGGTTCTTTTAATCCGTGTTTTTCCCTTTTACACAATGTTTGCTGGGGATGGGCACTGGCAGAACCCTGTTACCCTACAGATTAAATGAGTTTTTTCCCAAATATTTTATCCAACTTTTGTGGCTTTCCCAAATTTATTCTCCAATTCTGTTTAAAAAAATATTTATTTATGTGGCCAATGCGTTTGGAGGACAGGAAGCATAAAAGAAAGCGGAGAGGGATGGGACAGATGTCGGGATTGTGAATCAAACCCACAACACCCTGGGCAACTATGGATACTTGTCTGGCTCAGGGTCGACTACTGGGCGAGACAAATTCTGCTTCATTCCCATTTGTTTCAAACCTCATAGACAAGATATTCTACAAAATATTCTGTATGATTCAGTCTCCAGTTAGATTCCAGTTGGGTCTAATATAATATAAAATTCTATAAATATATAAAGTCTCTGTTTATTTAAAACCACGAACGCTTTGCACATTTTCAAACCATCTTTTCTCTTCCTCAATAAGATTTTTTTTCTTCTACCCTAAGAGTCTAATCTAGCACAGCTCTGCCAATAGAGATAAGGGAAGTAATCTGTCTGTCTGAATCAGTCTGTGCTCATTCTTACGGCGTGGAGGACTGGATACATTCACTTCAGCTTGTGATTGTGTCTCACTGCTCGAGTGTCTGTGTGAGTTTGTGTGTTTATACATGACCTGTGAGGCAGCTCTCCAGAGACCCTCATTCTATTAATGGAGACCAACACACTTGTGTCTGCAGACATTCTTCTGTGTCCGACAAGACAGGTCTTAAGTGTGAGTGTTTTATTGCAGTAGTAAGTCTTGTCGGCTTTATTTCATCGCTTCAAAAATAAACAAATAATTTCTTTTACATTTTTCCATAAATATGAATGATAACACAAACACTTTTTTGCACTCATGGTTAGTGTTTGGCTGAAGCCATTTAACAACTCTCAAACAACTGTGCTTACACTTTTAAAATAAAAATGACAACAACTTTCCAAATGTCCCTGATCCAAAGTGATTTTGGGCTGATAAGACCCACAATAACGGACACAAAGGGCTTGAGTGACTGGTAAAGGTAACCATCCTCACTTTTTGTGATTTCTGACCTCCTGATAGACCCTTCCCTCTTTCATCTATCAAAAATTTCGGCTACAACTACCAGAAAAAAATGTAAGGAAGAAAAAACCACAGGAAAAAATGGTTCAAGAAGCACAAGAAGGAGAAATGGGTTGAATGGTGGAATTGCCAGAACAAAGTCATTACTACACAAATGCCACAAATGTGCCCACTTACAATACACCAAACAGCTCTGGGAAAACTTTTTGGCCTCAACCATAGATGCTAAATTTGGAGAGGAGTCAACCATGAATGAAATCCCATCCCCACAGTGAAACACGGAGGCAGGTTACTGAGGTTCTTGGGATGTTTGAGCTCCAACAGCACAGGAAACTTGGTTAAAATTGATTGGAAGAGGAATGCAGCATGTTATCAAAGGATACTGGAGCTAAATGTGCACTTATCAGTCTAGAAGCTATGCATGGGGACATTACTGGACATTCCAACACAACAAAGGTCCAAAACATAAGGCCACATCCACTTTTCACTGGTTAATTTTACCAAGAACATTGGGCAGCTTTACCAACTGAGAAAATAAAGAACCTCATCGATAGAATATAAAGAACCTCATCTACCTCAAGGGACTTCATTGATTGTAAGGGGAGACTACTAGTTATTAAGAGATGGGATTTGTAAAGTTGTGATCAGGGTTATTTGGAATGTTTCTGTTGTCATTATGATTTAAAAAGAGTAAACACAGTTGTGTGACAATAAATGGTCTCACTCAACCACTAACTATGAGTTGCCAGACTATTAAACTTCTGAAAAACTCCCATCAATGCATTCATTAGCTTGAAAATATTTACTAAAATATAAATAGACACTATGCAAAACCATAAAATTGAAAAGAAGAAAAATCTGGCTTTTTAAAAGCTGCTTCATTCCAGTTTGTTGAATTTAAAGACTTTTGGTGAATATTATGGGTATTTCTCTTCCTTTTTTTTCTTCAAATTATGCTTCGCTTCCAGTAATAAATAAGCATTAAAGATCTGAAGAGTCACAAGCAGATGAACTGCCTCTGGATTATGTAACGGCAGCTGGATACAGTCGCGTGTACAGTGTGGATAATGCCTGGCTGATAGATATTTCTGCCCGTCTCACACATCTGAATCCAACTTCATTCAAGTCCAACAGATTTGGTTGTCCACAATCTGAAAATCATCTGTACCCCTGACTAAAAGCCATTATGTCGGAACAAAGCAGAGCGCTGCTTCTAATATTACATGTCTGTAGAAACAGGGGCAGTTCAGAAGGGCCTGTGTGACAAAAATAACCCACGGCTGTGAAATGAAGAGATAGATTGTTTGGAAGCATTCTCACTGGCACTACAGCAACACTGAAGTCAAGTGGAGGCTGAAACCTCTGAAACCCCTTGAGTTTGGCATAATTATCAGAGTAGTTCTGGGACAGCACCACTCAAAGCGGAGATTATTCTCGATTAACCAGTTCTAGAGTGGTTATCTATAACTATTAACAAAGTCACAGAGCTTACTGCATCTATGGAGTTTCCAAAACCACAGTTATCTTCTTATACTGAATACCTTTTTGTAGTTAAAGTTGACAAAGCTGCTAGAAAGTATGTGAAAATAGGCTAAATGGAGTGTTTTGAGCTGCTATCACATGGGACTTATACGTGTGTTACTATTTATAATTATTATTCTAAGCCGCTTTTGTAAATTAACATCATTGTAAGCAATAGAGTAATAATAAAAAAAAAGAAATCAGTTTCGAAGCTGACCATTGCAAGATTTATTAAAGTGCTGGGTTACAAATGTCAAGAGGAGATTTTTGTCACCAGTAAGGAGGTGAGGAATGGTAAATGTTCTTGGTGGAAGGTGCACTGAGATCAGTGTGGAGGTGAGTAAAACAGCCAGAAAGCAGAACCATTGGAGAATCGCAGCAGGTAAGGAGATCGCAATGGTAAAGCCTTCCAGGAAGTGAATCACAGGAAGAAGTTTGCTGATCTCAGGTGCCGTGATACAACAGATGGGGAAACATTAAAGAAGAAGACGTTGACCAAGAAGAAATCAAAGAACATATAGAAAACACATAGTGCTGTACAAAATAATGGGGTAGACAGAGTTTACTAAAGTCTGCTCCGGATCTGGACCAACCGCCAGGTCAAATTTGAACCAGCTGAGCTGAGTCTGTGACCTCTAATTGGCAGATCATACAAATCCAGGATGATGTTATCTTGTGTTTCTCACTTTCCAACTTACAAATACCATGCTTCCTCTCAGTGTGTGTTTGGCTTCTGACATCATCAGCAGCTATAGTAATGGCCGCTAAGTACCTAAGTATGACTTTGCAATCTAAGCGGACAAGTTTGCAATCCAAACCACGGGCACAGGCCGTCAAATATCATCATGAAGCCCATAAAACCTTTGAGCAGCAATATCTAGTCTTGTAGTCAAGACTGCCTTGACCGAGATCAAGACCAGAGAGTATCGAGACCAAGGTGCAGCTGAGATCAGAGGGTACCGAGACCAATACAAGACCAAGACTAGGACCAAGGCAAGCTAAGCCGAGGGCAAGACCATGACTGGCCAAGACCAAAAACAATTACTTTTCTTTATTACTGTAATTTTTAAAGTCAGTGCAATGTTTTTCTGTTATTTTGTCTATTAAATTTACATTTACGCATTTGGTAGATGCTTCTATTCAAAGCGACATTTGAGTGACTGAACACATTTTTTGTCAGTTCCTGCTTTCCGGGGGATTTGAACCCACAATCTTTGCATTGTTTGCCCAATGCTCTGCCAACTGAGCCACAAGAAAGCCACAAGCCCTCAAATAAGTACTTAGAAATATTATTGCAAGTAATGTCCATATTAGGTTAAATATAAAGTTAAATTTAAATTACTTATTAGAATGGCTGTTTTGGTTTCATCGTACTGTTAAACAAAGGTACTTGTGTTAGCACGTTCTAGAGAGGTGATGCTGGATGGTAATTAGCATCTGTATGGCATTGTTGTATGGATATTTTGTCAGAGTTGGATGTTTTTCACCACAAGTGTTCTCAGAATCTCTAGTGGAGTATGACTAACATCACGGTGCATTCATGTTGTTGGTGAAAAAATAAATAACACTATGCTGTTGCTTTTTTTGACGAAATATACAGAGATTGTGAAAAATTGTGTGTTTGCGGCTTGGTTTTTGTTCATGGATTAAAATCACCAGGACACCTGTGCAACAAAGACAGAGATAAGAGACAACCTAGAGCGAGACAATACAGGGATCACAGAGAGTCGAGACCAAGACGATACCAAGACCACAGAGAGCCGAGACAGTAATAGAAAAATGGTCTCGAGATCTGACCCAGACTGGTCTTGAGCAATACAACACTAGCAATCTCATGAAAACTCTATTATCGATTACTACGTTTAAAAGCAAAAGTTCCTAGAGCCATTTATACTAGTTTTGAACCCATTTCAATGTTGATTGTTTAATGATAAATAAATAAAACCAAAAGCCATTTTTAACTCGATCAATATAATCTCTGGACTTTGAATAAAAAGTTATTCAAACAGTGTCCTAGTTTACCCTGCTGTCTCCCATATGCCGGTACACCGAGCCCTATAGGCACAGCTGGCACCAACAGAGAGTATTCGGTGGAAGAGTTTGCATGTCATGTTTTATACACACATAAAATTATTCAATCTTCTCATTATTTGCAGCTGCCGCAGTACGTCATGCAGCACCCAGAATTATTGCCTAAATCTGACTCTCACTCATTTAATGATTTTAATTTTCTCCCTCTTTGTGCTGCTGATCTAATTAGAGTGTTTCAGGGCCGAAGAGAGATTGAAGACACCCTTCTGCTAATCTGGGCTCGTTTCTGACTAACATTATTCAGAAAAGAGCCTTGCATACAATATGGGCATATTTATAAGTGCCTAATACTAGCGAGATACGGGATGGTGGTAGAAAATGAAAATGTACTTAATCATAAACTAATCAAGGCAAAACATTTTATATTTCATATGAAATCTTGTTACAAAAAGGTGTGACAAAGAATATTTCTAAAAGTGTTTACATATTAAATAAAAATTACCTTAAATCGGGTCTTCGTTTATTGAATTTCATTGTTAATAGTTAGGGTCACCAGGACATGAAGGTGCCAATATACAGTACTTTACATCAGGTTGACGATGCATCAAAGCCAGGGGTATACACCAGCAGAGTCATAAAGCTAAAGCTACACATTCTCGCCAAACACATTCAAACTCCTATTTACCGTTATGAGCTATTTAGAGTCACCATTCCACCAGAGACATGTTTTGGATGGTAGAAGCAAATACACATAAATACACGAAGCACGTGGAGAACTCATAGTCTCAAGGTGAATTTTTGGCTGACCAATCTTTACTAGTACACCACCCATTTCTTGATTCTGACTAACGTTTCCTATTACCATTGTGTTTTATATGCAGTAAAGAGAAATATATGAAAGCTCAATGTATTACTGTTTAGTTTAATTACTTTGGAAATCATACATTTTTTTTACAAGAGTATTCTTTTTTAAAATTCTAAATGAGGCTATGAAATACGAAGTGTGCAGCCTCAACACAGAAGTATAAATCGAAGCTTAACCCTTAGAACTCTAGTGCATTTTTGAGCGTTTTAACTACTTTACAATTTGCTCCAATAAATTATATTTAAAACCATTGTTTTGTGGTAATGCTGGTATAGTTTTTGAGTGCAACCCCAATTTATTTTTAATTTACTAAACACACCTAAAATTAAAAAAAAAAAATTCAATTACGAGTATTACATTTTTTACATTTTTGTACTGCAAAAAATCCAAGCTCTCTTATTTTATACATTGTTCCAAGCACTTTTTGTTCCATTCTGCTTTTTTGAGCCAGAACTTTGAAAAACACAAGCCATATCACAGGTCTTGTACTTCAAAGGGTTATCCTTTCTTTTCATCACTAGATGGCATTTTCTCACATTTTAATTACCTTGAAAATTATGTCAAAAGTCTTGTAATGTTTGTTGAAAACCAAAAATACAAAACTAATAACCTTTTTTGAAATGTATACATTTTATTTCAAATCAAAATTAAACAATAGTTGCTTTATTCCTACTCAATTGAAAACAGCAGGTGTGATTGGCACATGCACTGAAACTTATAAAGGTTAAGATAAATCTCAGCACAATCCTTTGGTTTGGCCTTTTCGTAGCTGTTTGCAGCTATTTTTATAATTTAATATATACATAGGAATAGTTTCTCTACTCTTGCCTTACATGGGCCAAATTTCCCTAACTTCAAGAATATAATATTATTTTGAATAATAATGTGACTTTATATTCATTAAAATTCTCATTATTTTAAATTAAACTACTATCTATAACTAGAAAAGCTTCATCAGCCCCTTACAAAAATAAGGGTCAATACTGAAATTATTACACCAAAAAACAATTATGGTGACAAAAAAATGACTAACTGTATGCAGATAAACAATATGCAGAAGGGAACCCATCTATTTATGGGAAATAATTGGTTCATGCCTCAGCATGCAAAGATGTTGGTGCCGAGCGAAGGGGGAAGGGGAGCAGAAGAGGGAGATTTCATTGCATTGCTGCTTCCCTGATGGGCCAATGCATGTTTGTACTGTATATATTATAAGAAACCACAAGGACACTCAGTTCAGAGCAAACACTCATTTAAAAACAGATGGTAACTAAAAATGTACTTTACACAAAAAACTCAACCACTCATTTCCTGTCTACACTTATTAGTGTAAGTCAAACTACTTATTTGTGCAGGGTGACCCGATCATCTTCTTATAATTTGTTGTTGGCTGTTTAATGAGACTATAATGACAGGGTGGAGAGCAGGTAATGATCCGACATCATGTATTTGGTCTGCATGGCCAGTTTTTGGTGATCAGACCCCTTCTGAATATATTTTGGGATTTTGTTAATGACCTCCACAGTCTGTTGTTTCTAAGTCCTTTGTTCTCTTGCAGCAAAGTCTCTAATCACCATTGTTTAGTCACTCAGAGTCTTTGGATGCCCAATTAATGCTGTCCTGACTTTCTCCTCTGGTTTCTAGAAGGCCAAGTGAAAGTGGCAAAATCGGATGAATCTTCTGTGGTCCCGAAGGAAAACAACACTTCGGGAGAGGAAAGCTGCCTCCATATGTGTGGGCCAAGGTCAGAGCAGTTCCCATAAACGGTATCTCATGAGAGTTGATGTTCCTGCTGAGTCTCAAAGGTGTGGATTTGTAGGATTAGGGAGAAGCCACACCATTCCCAGTTTGTGAGGAACAGACTGGGCTTTCAGCTATATAGACCTTTTATAGGCTTTTACATGTTATTTTGTTTCTCTTGAGGGTGTAAATTACATACAAGAACCAGAACAGACCTGAAAATCCTGACAATTCTCACCTTGCATCAGGGGTATCAACTAGAATTACCGATCTGAAAGACCCTATTTTTTTTTTTTACTTACGTGGGTTTATGTTTTTGTGAAAATGGCACAAAAAGGCATTAATCATGCAAAAAAATTCCAGTGCAATAAAAAAAATGAAAATAATAATAATAATAATAATAATAATAATAATAATAATAATAATAATAATAATAATAATTTTAAAACACTACAAGTCTAAAAATACACAATAACTACTCTGGAAAAACAACAGGAATTCTAAAAACAAATATCCAATCAGAACACAAAATAAATGAGCAAAATGTATTCATAAAGCACATTTTAAACATCAAGCTGTCCAAAATGTCAAAATGTCAATCAAAATGGAATTATAGTGTAAGAATATGCAATTAGAATATGCAAACTATAACTGTACACATTTTAAACAAATTCAACCAATGAAAACATTAAATGGCCTCTGTTATGTACTTTTTACAGGGTGTGGCGTTTATCTTATGAAACTAGTGAATGCACATTAAATGCAATTTTTTTGTTTGAAATACAAATTATATCTTTTTAATTACAAGCTAAAATAGTTGTATTAGGGGTATATTGCAGAATATTCAATTTGGAATGACGTCATGTAAGAGTCCAGAAGGGGGCATGGCCAAGATTTCACTTGCTCTGTGTACAGTGTTGAACACAGCGGACAAGTAACACGACTGAGGGTGGGAGCCATGTTTTTCAGCTGTACAACCCAGACTCAGAACGAACCCATCTTAAAATAGTGCATTCTTTTTACAGACACAACATTCTAACTGCTATCACAGAAGAGTAACATTTTAAAATAGAACAGGTGAAATAAATATATAGCAAACCTCATATGTGTATAATGCCAAAAATCTAAATTTGTAGTCAGCACATATGATGAGAAACCTGTGTATAAAGCATGACTCGATCATTTATCAAATTAACATTTTATTATAACAACTGCTCTGCTCTGGATTTGTCATTGATGTCTGCCACAGCTTTGCTATTGACAACAATTCTGGGATACTCTTATACTTGAAAGTTTCAAGATGACAATTTCAATTAACCTCAGCATTTTATGTCAAGTTTGCAAAAGTGGTAGTGCCTGGCTCCGTTTGTCAAGTTGGGAAGTTGTGAATATTTTCTATTGCTTCAGTTGCCTTCTGTTAATCTACAAAAATGTATATTTTATATAATAATTTAATAATACAATTATTTCACGGATGAAAAAAAGAAAAAAAGAGAAAATCTACACTTTTATCTCAAATTACAGTTGTATCGCCATCGTTTGTGAGTCACTTTGGATAAAGTCCTCGATTAAATATAAATCTATCTCCCATATCAAGTTGTACTGGGAAGGAAACTGGATATA